AAGGAAAACAGAAGGGGTCAAAGGTAGACGTACACTTCCAAGTCACTTTCCCGGTGCCCACTGTTAGTGATTTGGCTTGTAATAAAAAGACACCCTGACAGAGCAACTTAAAGAAAGGGTTTTCTGACTCACAGTTTCAGTGTATAGTTCTTCATGGTGGGCAATTCTTGTGGTGGTTTGAATAAGAATGGACCCCTTAGGCCGCATATTTGAATGGCTAGTCACCAGGGGGAGGTACTATTTGAAAGGACTAGAAAGATTAGGAGGTGTGGTCTTATTGGAGGAAGTGTCTTTAGGGGTAGACTTAGAGATCTCAGAAGCTCATGCCAGCCCCCCCCCCCCCCCCCCCCCCCCCCCCCCGCCTCTCTTTGTGCGCGTGTGTTTATGTCTCCCTGCTGCCTGTGGATCAGGATGTAGAACTCTTAGCTCCTTCTCCAGCACCATTTCTGCCTGCATCCTGCCATGCTCCCTGCCATGATAACAACAGGCTAAACCTCTGAAATGACAAGCAAGTCCCTAATTAAATGACTTTTGTTTTATTTTATAGAAGAGTCCCTTGGTCATGGTATCTCCTCACAGTGATAGAACAGTGACTAGCACAGAAGTTGGTATCAGGAGTGGGGTATTGCTGTGACAGATCCGACCATGATAATTTTATGTCAGCTTGACACAAGCTGGAGTCATCAGAGAGGAGGGAACCTCAGTTGAGAAAATGCACCTCATAAGATGAGGCTGTCTTAGGGCATTTTCTTAGTAAGTGATTGACCAGGGAAGGTTCAGCTCGTTGTGGACGGGGTCACCCCTGAGACAGTGGTACTGGGGTCTATAAAAAAGCAGGCTGAAAAAGCCATGGGGAGCAAGACAGTAAGCAGCACCCGGCCATGGCCTCTGCCTCAGTCTCCTGTTAGTTTCCTGGCCATCTTGAGCTCCTGCCCTGTTTCTGATGATAAACCATTATAAGGGACTGTGAGTGACACAGACCCTTTCCTCCCCGTGCTGCTTTTGGCCATGGCATCTCACACGACAATAGTCAACCCTAAGACGGTCATGGTGGCAGGAGTTTCGGGCAGCTGATCTCACTGTGTCATAGTCAGGAAGCAGACGGAGATGAATGCTGGTGCCTAGCGAGTGTCTCCTTTTTATTCAGCCCAGGACCCCATCCCATGCAGTGGTGACACCCACAATGATTGTGTTTTTCTCTGTATCTCTTAACCTAATTTGGAAACTCCTCCACAGACGTGCCCAGAGGCATGTTCTCATGGTGAGTCTAAATCTTCCCCCTGTGGACAAGGTAACCACCACCCCTACTCTCTCCAAGTAGGCCTTGCCTTTTACTTTCCACCACTTCTCGATAATAACCCTCAGATTCTGAATCCTTCCTAGCTCCAGAACCCAGCCATGTCCTCAAAGCCCATCAGCTGGCCGCTAAGCCTTTAGCATGTGAGCCTTTGGGGACCATTTCAGATTCAAACTATCGCCTAAGAGAAGTATAGGGGACAGTGAGGAGGGCACGGGGGCTCCTTTGTTCCTCTTTCCAAGGGAAAGGAAGTGTGTCAACACTGGAGGAGGTTTGTGAGCCCAGAATAGTGTAAATGGAGCTTTGCCGATCTGACACAGGTGTTGCGGTGTCGCACTGTGACGTCTGAATATTCGTGTCTGAAGTCTTAGCTAAGGGACTGGTTCAGCCTGGCCCTGGGTGCTCAGCTGTATATAGACCTGGGACGGAGACAGCTGGCAGGCCCACATCACCAGTCCAAGTTGGCGCATGGGCTCTTTGGTCTGGCTCCCCAAACCATTATTTCCTCTTGGAAACCTTCAGAAGTAAGAGAGCCAGGTGGCTTGGCACTGCTGGAAACAGTGCTCTCTCCCCAGAGAGCATGGTGGAACTGAGGTGGACTTACGTTGATAAATTCAGGAGATAATGCAATCTCCTGCTCAAGTCAGAATCACTGGACATACCACATCTGGGTAACAAATTCATTTCCTTGACCCCAGCTAAGCTTTGAAGTCAGTGCATGGGGGGGGGGGTTGTAATATTTTTCCAAAGTGTTATTTTATAGGCTGACAAAGTAGCTGATTTCATGTTCTCAGTGAAATGACAACCACAGACTTATGAATTAACTAGACATCTGATTATTCAAGTGACTCTAGTTAATTAATGGAGCAGGGCAATGTTTTTAAAGGACAGCCTCACCCTTTGGGGATATGCACCGAGTCACAACAGACGAATGACAAGCAGTGTGCCTGTGGAAAAGTTCAGAGAGGCAGAGAAGTGGGAGGGGCCGTGAGTTGCTGAAACTGCAAGATGGACCAAGGAGACTTCATCATTTAGTCCTCTCTACTCTAGTATTGTGGAAGGGTTCCTTCAGGCTTTAAGGGAGGCAGGGAAGATGATCAAGGGGAGGTAAGAATAAAACTTTGAGCTGGGCAGTGGTGGCGCAAGCCTTTAATCCCAGCACTCAGGAAGCAGAGGCAGGTGGATCTCTGTGAGTTCGAGGCCAGCCTGGTCTACAAGAGCTAGTTCCAAAGCTACAGAAAAACCCTGTCTCAAAAAACAAACAACAGCAGCAACAACAAAAAAGAATGAAACTCGATCAGCTAGATGTTTGTAGCAGTGCTAAGCCAGGACTTCTAGAGTCTGGCCCGGATCACTTACTTTAGCCATATTTAAGCACAGCACAGTTTGGGGAAAGAATTTTCTGATAACAATTCAGTCCCAAGTGCACAACAAATTTAAGACACATTTACACTGAGATTCTTCACAGAGTACATCTGGCTTCTCTTACTAAGATGGGTACTGTTGACTCAGAAATAGTGCCCAAGATTTGGAGTCCAGGGAGATTGACTGAGGCAAACATCATGCCTGTGGGTGTCAGGATTGGCCTGCCCCTGGGATAACATGAAAGTCTCTTAGGCTGTTGTAAAGTACAAGTGAAAACACTCATTTGAATGAGTTTTATGGCCTAGGAGTGTAGTATTATGAATGGTGGGCTGCGTTCCCGCCACCCGGCTAGCTTTACCTGAAATAATTACACGGAAACTGTATTCTTTTAAACACTGCCTGGCCCATTAGTTCCAGCCTCTTTTTGGCTAGCTCTTACATATTGATCTAACCCATTACTAATAATCTGTGTAGTCCACGAGGTAGCTTACCAGGGAAGATCTTATCCTGTGTCTGTGTTGGGTGGGAGAATTATGGCGACTCACTGATTTGCCTTCTTTCTCCCAGCATTCTGTTCTGTTTACTCCGCCTACCTAATTTTCTGTCCTATTAAAGGGCCAAGGCAGTCTCTTTATTTAACCAATGAAATTAACACAAAACAGAAGACTCTCCCCCATCATAGGAGCAATGCTTAAGATTTAGAGGGAAAGGGTCTGGGATAAGTAAACATATATTCTGGGAGATACAGGTGGAGCCTAGCTCATCAGAAGAAGGAGGATTGCCAGGTTGTAAACTACTTTCTTTACCAGCATTCCAAGAGGAAGACAGGCTAAACATCTCCTTCCTTTGGATGACGCCCCCGTGTGTGTGTGTGTGTGTGTGTGTGTGTGTGTGTGTGTGTGTGTGTTAGAGCCAATAACTTTGGGATTCCAATGTAGACTGGAGATCAGAAGCCTTCCAGAACTTCAGTACCAGACTGGAACTGCAAAGACATCCAGCCTCATGGACCGAACAGCTACAGGACTTCGAGCCTTTCCATCATGAGATAACCATTATTGAGCTACCAGATTATGTGCCATAAGCCAGTCTAATAAATCCCCTTTGAACATAGTCATTCTATCAGTTCACCCTAATGTAGTAGATTAATGGACTCTCACTTGATCATCTCATACAGCCAACTTCATGGTTCTTTTCCCATTCCAAGACAAAGATTTCAAATCTCCAACCAGGGGTCTCTTCTGGTAGGAATCAGTTTGCTTCCCTTTCTTCCTCTGGATTTTCTAATCCCCTGCTATAGCCCAAACCAGACAATTCTGAGGGAGAAGACCCCTATCCTACCCACAGACATGAAAGCTTTTGACTTTGCCAGACAAACACAGATTCTAGAGTTCAGAGCTCCTCCTCCCTAAGGAGTCTGTTTCTTTGTGGGCTCTGCAGTGTGCCTGGGCTTTTGCTTTCAACAAAACCTGGCTAGGCCTGAAGTCTTGCTTTTCCTGCGTTTTTTTTTTTTTTTTTTTTTTTTTTTTTTTTTTTTTTTTTTTTTTTTTTTATTTTCGAGACAGGGTTTCTCCGTAGCTTTTTTGGTTCCTGTCCTGGAACTAGCTCTTATAGACCAGGCTGGCCTCGAACTCACAGAGATCCGCCTGCCCCTGCCTCTGCCTCCCAAGTGCTGGGATTAAAGGAATGCGCCACCACCGCCTGGCTCCTGCGTTTGTTTTTTTTTTTTATTCTTTATATTAGCAGAGAAAAAGATTCAGCTCTTGCCAACCTCACTGACCTCATCATGACAGCATCACTTCCGGTTTTTATATATATATATACATTTTTAATTTTAGCTTTTTCTTGTAATTCGTTAGCGCACTCGTGTGTGGGAAATGTCCGGGTACTTTGGTTTTTCATTTAGTGAGAGCAAACTGTCTGCAGTCTCGAGGGTATTTAACTACAAAGGGGCTTCTCAAGCATCATGAGGCAGAGCTGTGGTTTCCTTGGTTACCTCGTCTGACTGCTCACTTACCTGTTATCAAGACCAGCACGACCATCAAGATATCGCCCCTAAAAATTTCCTCATGTGACTTTGCATACACGTCCTTTCTCCCAGCCCCACATGACCTTCAGTCCGCTTCCTATTACTGTAGCATCATTTGTACTTTCAAGACATTTAACGTAAATTGGATTATTTGTGTGTGTGTGTGTGTGTGTGTGTGTGAGAGAGAGAGAGAGAGAGAGAGAGAGAGAGAGAGAGAGAGAGAGAGAGAGAGAGATCTTTATTGTCTTGATTCTTGTGTTATTGGAGAGCGCAGGGGCAGGATCTCTTTTGCAGGGTTTTATTCTCTTGGGGATGATTGAAGGGCTTGGAAACTTCAGGAGCCCAGGGTTGTCTAGGCAACGGAACCTTGGGAAACAGGCAGGTTCGGAGATGCAGGAGGACACTAGGACATTCGCATGAGCACGCGCAGTGACTTGGCGGCGGCGGCGAGATGCGCGTGCACAGGCGCGGGCCGCCAGCTGGGGAGCAGTAAAACGTTCAGTCGAGAAGCTGTGAGGGGGTCGCCAAGCTCCCACGGTCACTTGGCTGACGTGAGCCACTGGGGCGCGCACGGCGCCTCGCACGAGCTGGGGCTGAGCCGCGTGCGCTGCGCCTCCTGCGGTCCCTGCGTGGTCACCGCGGCTCGGAGCACCCGGTCCGCTGACGCGCGTGTCTGACAGCAAAGGCGAAGGCCGTGCTCTCGCCCTCTCTTCGCACGATGAGCCCCGAGCCGGCACCCCAGCCTCCGGAGCCCCAGGGCGTGCGCTGCAGCCTCGAGGAGCAGGAGCTCTCGGCTGAGAGCCTGATGGAGGAAGCCGAGGCCGCCCTCATCAAAGAGTACCAGGCGGCGGCCGAGCTCCTCCGCTCGATGCTGGCCCGCATGGCGCAGCCGGACCGTGCCCTGTGCGTGCACCTTGGGGAAACGCTGTCTCGCGCCGGCCTCTTCCCCGATGCCATCGGCGCCTTCCGCGGGGCCGCCCTGCTCGGCCCCCTGAAGCCCGCGGAGCTGGATGAGCTGGCAAGAGGCCTGGCGCGCTCCCTAGGCCTGCACAAGAAGTGGCTGCCGGAGGTGGCAAGGTCCGGCTGCGCGGCTGGCTCCTCGGGGCCGGTGGCGCCCCGCGACCTGCTGGGCTGTCCGCGCTGCGGGAGGCTGCTCTACAAGCCCGTGACGCTGGCCAGCGGGCTCACGGTATGCAAGCGCTGTGTGAAGATGGTTCCCGGGCGGCCACAGGCCCGGCGCGTGAACGTGATGCTGAGCGGGCTGCTGGAGAGATGCTTCCCTGCGTATTGTCGGCTGCGCAGAATGGCGTGCCAGGCGCGGGGGCTTCAACGCCAGCAGCAGCCCGAGGCCGCGCTGCTCAGGTGCCAGCAGGCCCTGGACATTGGTGAGTCAGCCTTGAGGGTGACCACGGGCTGGGCGGTGGCCGGTGGCATTTTAATTTCAAAGGTAGTGAGGTGCACAAGGCTAACCAGCCTCACCCTGCAGGATGAGGTCACATGCCAGGTGCATCGTTCTTGTGACTTTTCCAAGACTGGTGTATGATGTAAAGCAATGTTAGTCAAAGAGCTGTAGTGTTAGTCATAGAACTTTTAAAATTTCTGGTAGGTATGTTAAATAGGGTGACGAAAAGCAAGTGATATCTATTTTAACAGTGCTTTCCACTCTATATCCAAAATATCCTTTACATATCTTCAGTATTTAAAAAAAATCAATATTTACTTTATCTTTTGCCCATGTGGGTTTGAATTTATTGCACTCCCCAATTCAGACATGATTTTTTTTTCTTTTGAAACACTTCACCCGTGTTTAGATGTTGGAGAAGATGAGAACTGTCCTATGCACATCTCCTGGAAATCTGGTAGCGTCCATGTGTTCAGTAGGACTGGTTGCTAATCGTTTCAAAGAGGTGCATATACATGGGCCCCAAACGACTGTAAAGTTACTCCCGGGGCTGGGGAGATGGCTCACTGGTTAAGAGCACTAGCTGCTCTCCAAGGGGACCTACCTAGGTTTGGGTCCCTTCATTCACATTGGGGAATTACAACCTGCTTCCAGTCCCCGGGGATCTTGGCGCCCCCATCTGACTGCCTTGGAAACTGAGCAGGCTCAAAGTGCACACGAGTAGGCAAAGCATTCATACACATACAATAAAAACTAAAAAAAAAAAAAAAAAAATTGTAGGAAACAGTCTCCGTTGACAATGTTCACCGTATTTCACAACTTAAGAGCCCATGTTTCTTGGTTAAGTGATTATTTAATACTCTCAATTGTTATTAAAATCTTTAATAAGAATATTTCCTAGCAAGGGAAAATGAATATTAATACAAAATCATTTCTGTAATAATCCAACTTCCACTTCTAATGGGAAAATAATAAATAAGATTTCATTATGTTACAAAAAAAAAAACTAAAGCAGAAAGCAACATTTTTTTTTTTTTTGAGTGAGAGCCTAATGGGTCACTATATCCTTATACCGTCACAGAATACCACAGGAAAGAAAGCCAGCCAGCTGCAGTTTCAGACTATTCCTACATGCTGAACCCACAAACACAATGCAAAGTGAAAGCGGCTAGACTTGCCGGGCCTGGCAGAACAGATCTGTCTGTAATCCTAGCTACTGGGGGACTTGAGGCAAGAGAATGGCTAGTTCAATATCTGCCTGGGCTGTAGTGTGAGTTCAAAGCCCTGTCTTATAGTGAAAAGTGTGTGTGGGGGAATATAGCTATGTGTCTGAATGCCTACTGATCATGTGTTAGATTCAATATTCAGTACCACCCCCCCCCAAAAAAAAGCTGAATAAAGAGAAGAAACAACAACCAAACACACAGGCATCTTTACTGTGTGATTCCAATTGTTAGAAGGGGAGCAGGCAAATCACTGCAGGGCGGTGTTTCTTAACCTGGGGATCATGACCCTTCTGGGTGTCACCTAAGACCATCAGAAAACACAGAAATTTATGTTAAGATTCAAAACAGCAAGATTACAGTTACAAAGTAGCAAGGAAAATAATCTTACGGTTGGGGGGTCACCACAGCATGAGGAAGTGTATTTTTAAAAAGGTACCAGCATTAGGAAGGTTGGGAACCACTGCTATGGGGTGTTAGAAGCAAGGGTTGTGGTGATTGAAAGGGACTGTTGATTGTGAGGAAGCACAGGAGGACCTGTGTGGGTAGTGATGCAGTATTTCGTGACTTTGGGGAGGGAGACATGTGTTAACTTTCTGGTAGTTTCGTAAACTCTGTGTCTTAAGCCCTTTATGTACGTTATACATTTTAGAACTCAACCTACGACTGTAAAGCTTTGACTAGTTCAGTCATTTCATGTCACAACTTATATTAAACATGTCCCATATTCGCTTTCTCTTCAGAGTAGAAGATTAAACTCGGGTTTCCTACTTTCAAAGTGTATGAATGAAAAAGGAGATTGAGGCTCAGTGGTAGCATGAGTGCTTCTCATTCGTGAAGCTGTGAGTTCAATTCCCAGCACTGCACAAGACACACACACACACAGGCACACAGGCACATACACACACAGACACACACACACACACACATGCGGGCTGTTACATTTCATGATAATGTTAGCTCAAATTAGAGGTTTGGGTTCAGTAAATAAGGTCATAAATGTTTGGAATTAGAATGTTTGTGCTTGTAGTAGTCATTAGCACCGTGTCCCAATACTTCTTTCTTGATTCCTTTCAAAGGCAAGATAAGAGCGAATGTTCTGATTCACCCAAGTAGAGGCTTTGTAAGTAATCTTTGGCAATAACTTGTGAATGAGATTAAATAAATACATATGTTAAAGAGAACAGATATGTGTAGGAGGAGAGAGCCACTTGTTGGTTCCTGGCCGCTTATCCCTGAAATAATTACACAGAAACTGTATTAATTAAATCACTGCTTGGCCCATTAGCTCTAATTTCTTATTGGCTAATTCTTACATCTTAATTTAACCCATTTCTAGTAATCTGTATATCGCCAACCGGCATCTCTCTCTGGCGGGGCTCCATGGCTTCTGTCTGACTCCGCCCTTCTTTCTCCCAGCATTCAGTTTAGTTTTCCCTGTCTACCTCTATTCTTTTGCCCTATTAGGCCAAGCCAGTTTTCTTTATTAATTAACCAGTCATATTCACAGCATACAAAGGGGAATCCCACATCACCTCCCCCTTTCGGTTTAAATAAAAAAAGGAAGGTTTTAACTTAACATAGTAAAAGTACAAAAAAAACAGTTATCAAGTAAGAATTACAGTTATATATATTTTATCTTTTATCATAACTAAGGTAAACTATAAATTCTTCAACTCCATCAAAGACTCCAGAAGGCTATAATATTACCTAGGTAAACAGGATGTGCATTGTAAGCAACTTTCAAAACTCTAAAATTGACAGAGATTTCTGGCTACCTGGACAGTCACCCAAAGTTCTTCTGAACCATAGGGGCATCAGTATTCAGCCTACAGGCCCATAGTATCCAGGAGACTTTTCCATGAAGCAGGAAATTTCAAAGACAGTTCTGCCTGTATTGGCAGTTTGTCAGTCATTTTCTTTTGTGGCCTGTAGAATATCTGGCAGACTCTTTCATGAAGCAGGAACCCTGAAGGGTGGTGGTCTCACCTTTAGGCAAGTTTAGCAGTCATTTCTTTGTGGATCCTGCATGTGCAGTTCATCAGGAAGTCCAGGCAAGAGCAGTTTCTTTCCCAAATGGCTAACCAACTCCACAAGGAGCCTCTTTGATGCCCATCTTCCTCTTGAAGTAATTGGTGCTGCCAGGAGCAGATGTTTCTCATTGTCATGAAAAGTCCTAAATTCTTAAAACATTTTAAATACCATATTCTGTAGTTTTTGAAAGGTTTGAAGAATGCCCATCCATCTGAAATACATCTCTATAAATCTAGAAAATCTAACATGACTACAAGCTTCACTATTATAGATGACTATCTATTAACTATATTTCTTAATTATACATTACATTTTATTTTTTTCTTTCTTTCTTTTTTTTTATTTTCAAGACAGGGTTTCTCTGTAGCTTTTGGTTCCTGTCCTGGAACTAGCTCTTGTAGACCAGGCTGGCCTCGAACTCACAGAGATCCACCTGCCTCTGCCTCCCGAGTGCTGGGATTAAAGGCGTGCACCATCACCGCCCGGCTTATTTTAAGTGAACTATACAGTCATGGTAGTTTAATAAAGAGCAGAAATACACACACACACACACACACACACACATATATATAACAAAATTTACCTAAAATTTGTATCAATAAACCAAGATCCATACCAATGCAAATCTCTATAGCATATCCCCTTTAAATGCAAACAAACATTTATAAACAATATTTGGGAATATGGATGTAATTTTTCTCAAACTGCTTCCTGCTTTTTGTTGGGCAAAGTAATTTTTTCAGGGGTGTTTATAGCAACCTTTAGAGGAGTCTTGGTTCATCTCCCCCCCCCCCCACAGGGTTTCTCTGTGTAGTCCTGGCTGTCCTGGAACTCATTTTGTAGACCAAGCTGGCCTAGAACTCATAGGGATCCACCTGCCTCTGCCCTCTTTTGTTTTGTTTTGTTTGTTGTGGCAATACACGGATTACTAGAAATGGGTTCAATTAAGATGTAAGAGTTAGCGAATAAGAAGTTAGAGCTAATGGGCCAAGCATTGATGTAATTAATACAGTTTCCGTGCAATTACTTCAGTTCTGGACAGCCAGGATGAACAAGCAGTCCTCCCACCAACAGATATGAGCCAGGCAGTGGTGGCACATACCTTTAATCCCACTACTTGGGAGTCATATGCCTTTAATCCCAGCACTAGGGAAGTGGAGACAGAAAGGAGTGTGGCTGGGAGGAGACAGGAGCTCAAGGCATTCAGTCTGAGGACTTGTGGAGACAGGATACCCCATTTGGTCTGAGGATTTCATAGAGGTAAGGACTGACTGTTCTGTTTCTCTGATATTTTGGTTTTTACCCCAATATCTGACTCCAGGTTCTATTAAGACCAATTAGAATTCACACTACAGAACTGTATGAAAAGATAATGAATTCAGCAGATAATTGGCTTCTCTCTCTCTCTCTCTCTCTCTCTCTCTCTCTCTCTCACACACACACACACACACACACACACACACACACACACACCACAAAGGTGGATGTTCTAAGATTTTGTCTGACCTTGGAAGTTAATTAGATGGGTTTAAAAAAAACCAAAAAGCAGACTGCAAACATTGGAAGTTAGGATGAAAAATTGCGGGGACAAGCTATGTAGGTTTGGGTTTTTGCTGACTTACTTAACAGAACTAGAGTTGTCTGAGAAGAGGGAATATCAACTGAAAAATGCCCCATCTTGGTCTGTAGGCAAGCATGAGAACATTTTCCAAACTGATGTAGAAGG